TCCAGTCCCATCACTTCATGGCACATAGATGGGGAAACAGTGGAAACAGTGATAGACTTTATCTTTGAGGGCTCCAAAATCACTGCAGATGGTGATTGCACCCATGAAATTAAAAGACACTTACTCCTTGGAAGGAAAGTTATAACTAACCTGGACAGCATATTAAAAAGCAGAGACATTACTTTGCCAACAAAGGTCTGTCTAGTCAAAGCTATGGTTTTTCCAGTAGGTGTGTGTGGATGTGAGAGTTGGACTATAAAGAAAGCTGAGCACTGAAGAATTGACGCTTTTGAACTGTGGTGTTGGAGAAGACTCTTGAGAGTCCCTTGGACTGTAAGGAGATCCAACCAATCCATCCTAAAGGAGATCAGTCCTGGGTGTTCATTGGAAGGACTGATGCTGAAGCTGAAACTCCAGTACTTTGGCCACGTCATGCGAAGAGCTGACTCATTTGAAAAGACCCTGATGCTGGGAGGGATTGAAGGCAGGAGGAGAAGGGCCGACAGAGGATGAGATGGTTGGATGGCATCACCGACTCGATGGACATGGGTTTGAGTAAACTCGGGGAGATGGTGACGGACAAGAAGGCCTACTGTGCTGCAATCCATGGGGTCGCAAAGAGTCGGACATGACTGAGTGACTGAACTGAACTGAGCTGAATTCATATGACTGAACTGCATAAGCATTTGTAAAACTCTCACGGAAAACCAGTTGCTTTAATGTTTTGTTTTCCAGACACAACGGATCCCCTCTTCTCCTCTCCTTTAAGCTGTCTCTGTGCGCACGTGTGCTAAGTCGCTTCAGTCGTGCCCCACTCTGTGTGGCCCCGTGGACTGCAGCCTGCCCGGCTCCTCTGTCCGTGGGATCTCCAGGCAGGAACACCGGAGTGGGCCACCATGCCCCCCTCCCGGGGCTCTTCCCGACACAGGGGTGGAGCCCCAGTCTCCTATGTCTCCTGCATTTGGCAGACGGGCTCTTTACCGCTAGTGCCGCCTGGGAAGCCCTCAGCAGTCTATGCCTCATGAGTTGGCAAAGTGTATCTTTGACATTCACCTTTTTCTCCCTACCTGGTCCCTCAAGAGTTCTGAAACTGTTATTGAATATTAGTTTTTCATGACAGTGGACATACTTGCACAGGTTTGATGGGGTCTGTTCTCCCTGGATCAGAATACCCAGTGCACGTGGCTCCTGCCTCTCTGATCCACAGCTGAGAAAGGGAGAAATGTTTCTTCACTGCTTCTATTGAAAATAACCAGCGGGGGAATTCCCCGGTATCCCAGTGGTTAGAACTCCCCATTCTCACTGCCAAGGGCCTGGGTTTGATCCCTGGCTGGGGAACTAAGATCCCACATGCTGTGTGGTGTGGCCAAAAAAATTAAAAGTTTAAGAAGATAACCAGTTGGAATTAACATATACGCACTACTGTACAGAAAATAGATAACCAATAAGGACTTACTCTGTAGCACAGAGAACCATTCTCAGTATTTTGTAATAACCTATAAGGGAAAAGAATCTGAAAAAGAACATAAGTGTTACTGAATCACTTTGCTATACACCTGAAACTAACATATATTGTAAATCAATCATACATCAATTAACTTTTTAAAAAACTTAAAAAAAAATCACTGGGCTCTGGCAGAGCGCCCCTTTTGCTGTGCACTCCCAGAAGAGCAAGACCCCCCACACCATGCCCCAGAGGCTGGAGGTCCTGGAAAAGTCACCCTCAAAGGACCCCCTCCAGCCTCACTTGAAGGGCACCACCAGGTCCTGGTGACTAATCATTGAGCCACCCAACTCCAGGGACGAGGCTCCAGGCCCAGTGTCACGTCTAAAGAAAGCACCAAACCCCAGCTGGACCTGCACACTGTCTGCAGACCTGAGGATAAACGTCCATCAGGACCTGAAGCGGAGGACAGAAGCTTCCCCATGATGTCCAGACCCGACCTGTGCACATTCATTTCAACACAACCCCTCACCTCATCCCCCTCCCTCCTTACACGGAAGGACAACTCCCTCATTCGTACTTCCCAATCCCTGGAGAAAGGGGGCTTCCCTGGCGGCCCAGACAGTAAAGAATCCGTCTGCAATGCAGGAGACCTGAGTTCGATCCCTGGGTTGGGAAGGTCCCCCCAGGGAAGGGAATGGCTACTCACTCCAGTATTCCTGCCTGGAGAATCCCATGGACAGAGGAGCCTGGTGGGCTACAGTCCATGGGGTCGCAAAGAGCTGGACATGACTGAGTGACTAACACTTTCACTTTCTGGAGAAGGGGGCTACCTCTTTGATTGCCCGATTTGCCATCGGAAGCCTCAGCCCACCCAGCGAAGCAAGGACCCTTTGGTTCCCTCTCTCGGTAACTTCACTGGGGCTCTAGACGCTGCTGTCTGTCCAGACTGCTCCTTGGGCCCGTGTGGCACAGCTAGGAAACTGAGCCCACCTAAATGTATACTGATAGAGCTAGGGAGCTGAGCCCACCTAAATGTATTCCTTGTTTCAATGTGACCAGACTCTGGAATGGGAAAACAAGATCTTCTGAATATCTGCATGGAAAGTTCTAGGGAGCTGCCTATGCAAGCTGAGTCACCTATAGACTTGCTGACACATCGGCATATCTAAGTAACTTCCTGGTGTGTAACCGCATCTCTGAGCCTCGGAGAAGTGATGTCAGTGCCTCGGACTGGTGAAGGAATCCCAGGTTCCATCACGCTTGGTGAAGATTTGTGTGCATGCGCTCCGTGCGTGCACCTTCTTGTGTGGAAGTTTGGGGGAGAGTCACTATGCTCTGGAAGCCTCCTGTCTCGAGGCTGGAAAATGGCACGGTGCGCCCTCTGTGTTCACTGTCCTGCTCTCCCCGCATGACTGAAGAGAAGCCTCACATGCATCCATCCCATTAAACCTCTGTAACTGCATCAAGAATTTGCAGGAGGCCTAAGGACTGCAAGGAGATCCAACTCGTCCATCCTAAAGGAGATCAGTCCTGGGTGTTCACTGGAAGGACTGATGTTGAAGCTGAAACTCCAATACTTTGGCCACCTGATGAGAAGAGCTGACTCACTGGAAAAGACCCTGATGCTGGGAAAGATTGAAGGCAGGAGGAGAAGGGGACGGCAGAGGATGAGATGGTTGGATGGCATCACCGACTCAATGGTCATGGGTTTTGATGGACTCCGGGAGTTGGTGATGGACAGGGAGGCCTGGCGTGCTGCAATTCATGGGGCCGCAGAGTTGGACACGACTGAGCAACTTCAGTTTCAGTTTCCTTCTGTAGGGAGATCCTCCCATGGACAGGAGTGAGCACCAGCAAACATGTGATCAGGAATTCCTCCCAGAAGCTAGGACTAGCCGACTCCAAGGCAGTCTCAGCTCAGCCACGCCATCGGCCACAGTGGCTTTGGATAAACACGTGCCTGTGGTCACTATTTACTGAGCAAGCACACTGGCTACAGCAGCATCACCTGGCAGCCCACTCTTCCAGGTGTGTCCAACTGGGTGCCTGCAGGTCCAGCTCCCGGTTTAGAACCAGCTTGCAGACTGGGAGTCCCTGGGAGCCCCGGAGCTGGGAGGAGTATGGCCTTTCGGGACAGGACGTGCCCCCTCCCCATCCCTTCCTGTTGGGGCCCAGGGTCTGCATGCTGGGTGGACAGGCCGGCCACTTCCCTCTGCCGTGAGGGACCCAATTCCCTCCTGGACAGACGGCTCACAGTCTGCAGCCGACCACCACGAAAAGGGTGGGTGAAGGGAAGGGCTCTTACCCTGGGGGACCCTCAGGGAGGGGCCTGTCAGGGGCTCTAGAGACATCAGCCCGTGGGCCTTGAGGTCTCAGGAGGGCAGGTGTCAGGCTGAGTGCAGAGGTGGGGTCTGAAGCCCCTGGTACAGCCCACTTCCCGTTGGAAGCACCCCCACCAGCCGCCCCCTCGGCCCCCTTCTTGGGACGCTGCTGCTCTCCAGTTGTGTTCCAGGCCCCCTACCTCCCAGGTTGCACCTTCCTCCCAGTGGGCTGATCCAGGCTGACCCTGTGCCCATCAAGGAACAGCACTGAAACCACCACGCCTGGACCCCTTGGGAGCCCAGCATAGGAGCCGCCCCAAAGTTCAGGGCTCACCGCCCCCTTCCCTAGGAGCCACTGAGGCTCCTGCAGTCCTGCTTCAGGAGGCCGGAGCCTGGAGGGCCTGGGGAGGAGCCAGGCTGGCAGGAGCCGGGCTGGCAGGAGTGGGAATGGCAGGAGCCGGGATGGCCGGGATGAGGCCCGGCCCCAGGCCTGGGACGCACTGTGGACCAGGAAGTCTGAGGGAGCCCTATTAGAGGCTTCCCGGGAGTTCAGCACCCTGGAGCCGGTGGGGTGGGGGGTGGGGGGCGGGCAGGACCTCCCACACGGGCCCACTGCCTACTTGGGTCACCCTGAGAGGGCCCTTTCTGGACCATTCAGAGGGCTCCCCTGGATCAGCTCACTGGGTGGAGCGCCCACCCAGCCCTTTTCCTCTCGGGGAGCCCCCTGGGCCCAAGAGGCCATGAGTCCAGGCCGGCCCAGGCGGTCCTGCCAGAGGAGAAGCGGCCAGGACTGCGGGGTGGGGTGGGGGGTCGGTATGGCCGCTGCGGGTGCTTTGGAGTCGTGCTCACATCCAGCTCCGCGGGGACCACTGTGCGACCCTTGGGGGCTGCTCGCCCTCTGTGACCATCCGACTGCTAGACCACAGGGACGGACGGCCCCCTCCTAGGGTGTGGGCCCTGGGGGACACACTGGCATTGGAGACGCCGGCCGAGTCACGGACCAGCAGGTGGCACACGGGGGTGAGGGGCTTGGCACCGGCAGAAGAGCTCAGAACTGACCCAGCCTGGCCCTCCCACTCCAGGTCCCAGCGTGAGCCGGCGGCAGGCCGCGGACAGATTTATTCGGGCCTCACAGGCCACAGCAAACCCGCAGTTCCCCCCCCTCCAACGACTACGGCCACAGCGACATCCCGTGGTGCCGTGGCGTGCCGCCGCGTCCAGGCGCACCTGCGCTACAAGAGGTTGACCGTGGCTACCACCTGCTTGCAACCGGTGACGGCGAACTCACGGCCGGCCACGCGGTAGTAGCTGAGCTGCGCGGCCAGCAGCTCGGCCCGGGCCTGCTCCGGGAAGAAGCCCTCCGCGGCCATCTCATCCCGGAAGCAGTTGACCACGTCCCGCTTCTCCAGCAGCAGGAAGGGCACGATGGCTGCGGCCTCCCACAGCGGATGCTGGCGGGTCAGCAGCGCGCGCAGGCTGGCGCGCAGCTCCTCCTCGGCTGCGCGCAGCTCCTCTGGCCCGTCGGCGCGCCCCGAGCGGGACGCGTTCTGCAGCACGAAGCGCGTGACCTCAGCGCCGCCCGCGCCGCTGAGCAGCACGTAGACGGCGTTGTGGAAGCGCGGCGGCCGCTGCGGCTGCAGGAGGCCGTGCAGCTCGGCCAGCAGCACCGGCGGCAGCAGCTCCGCGTCGTCCAGCACCAGGAGCGGGGTCTTCTCCTCCGCCTCGGCCCGCGCCAGCACGTCGGCCACGCGCCGCGCCAGCTCCTCTCGGCAGCCGGCGGCGGCGCGCGGCGCGGGGCAGTGGTGGCGCGCGTGGTACTGCAGCACGAGTGCGCCGTCCTCCAGCGCCGCGCGGAAGTGGCGCGCCAGCAGGCGGCCCACGTGGCTCTTGCCCACGCCGCTGGGCCCGTGCAGCGCCAGCAGCAGCGGGCGGCTGTGCACGTGCGTGGCCAGGTAGTCCCGCAGCAGAGCCACGAGGCGGCCCACGGCCGCCGGCTGCCCGAACACGGCGCGCTGCAGCGTCTTCTCCAGCCCGTCGAGGTCATAGCGCAGCGCGTTGTCGTCCAGGTTCTCGATGGCGTTGAGCACCTGGAAGCCCACGATGGCCACGAGCAACAGCAGGCAGCGCTGGGCGCGGCTCTGGCGCTCGGCGCGCGGCCCGAACTTGCGCGAGGTCTCGGGGTAGAGCACCAGGCGGCTGCGCCGGCGCCGCTTCCGCGCCGGTCTCGAGGCCAGCTCGGCCGGCCCGTCGAAGGTGAAGAACTGCGGCTGCTCCCGGAGGACGCGCGGCGCCGCAGCCCCGGGGCCCGGCTCCACGGCCGACGGGGGTGGCCGCCGCTTGCGCAGGAGGCGCACTTGGTGGCGCAGGCGGACGACGGCGCGCACCGGAGCGATCACGCTCGGGCTGGGGGCGACCGGGGCCGCGGGCTCCGGGCTGGACTGGCCGCGGTCCATGGCGCAGGGGCGGTGCTTGGCATGCAGGTCGCCCTCCCTGCAACAGGAAGGCGGGGATGGTCTGCAGACTTCCGCCCGGCCGACTGGGACCCTCCCTCGGGATCTCACGCCCCGGCGAGGCCCCCGGAGGGCGGCCCGCTGCCCGGAGACCGGGACCAGCCTCTGCCCAGGAAGCGCCTCCCCGCGGGGCCCCAATGCAAATCTCTTGGGTCCTACATAAACAGCCTCGGGCCTTGAGGAAGTGACTGCGCGGGGTGGGGGTGGGGGGCGTAGTTTATCGGCCGGCAGACCGCCCGGGCTTCCTGGAGGAGGGGTTCGGGCCGGCCAGGCGCCAACTAGGGGTAAAGCAGGGTCAAGGCCGGCCCCGCCCCTGCCGCAGCTCGCCTGCCGGGCGCCTAGAGGGGGCCAGGGCGAGCAGAGGTCCGAGCACCCCGGAGCTCGGAGGTGTCCCACACACGAACCCTGGGCTGGGGGTTGCGGGGGGACTTCTCTCCAGATTGGGCTCCAGCCCCGTTCCTGAGCTGAGCCCAGGCCTCCCAGCCCCAAACGAGGATCCTCCCAACACCCCTCCGGTGGACACACGAATGGAGGGGGTGCGGGGAGCCCCTAGAGACGGGTTGGGGTGGGGGTGGGGGAGTGAAAAGATGGACAGAAAGACTACTCGGAGAAGGAGGGATAGTCCATGAGGAGACAGCTGGAGAAAGGTGGGGTGATGCCCCGGCCCACCCCGGTACCTGCAGCTGCGTCAAGTCAGGCTCTTACTGGCCCCCAGACCCACACGCCTGCCCACGCCCGAGGCTGGGGCCTGCCACTCAGGAAGCCGACAGCGCGGGCTTCTCTGCGTGGTTCAGGGCGGGGTGAGGGGCCTCACCGGGTCAGCGACACCTGCGGGTACCCTGGGAGCGTCCGGACTGGAGAAAGCCCTGGGGAGGTTTCCGCTTCTTTGCAAAGGAAGTGAGTCAGGGGTGCGGCGCGGGCGGGACTTCGGCTGGACTGAGGCGGCGGCGCTGGAGGGGAGGCCTGGCGGGCTTGCCCAGGTCCCCGGCCGGTGGGTCATCTACCCTCCTCAGCCCTGCAGCCCTCCCAGACCTCCTGACCCAGCCCAGCCCAGGACACCCCCAGGAGGCACCTCCCCTCCCCTGGGGCCATGGACCCCAACCTCCCCAGGGACATCTCCTGCACCTGATGCCCCAGGGCTGGTGGTGAGGGGGTGGGTGTTTCCAGGCTGCCTGTTCGCAGGAGCGGAGGGGGTGGGGGGGTCCTATCCCCCTTCTGCTCCCCCAAACCCAATCTGGGGGCCCCGCAAAATAGGGCTCATTTCTTTTTCCTCCCCCTCTTCTGCCAGGACCCGGGCCTCATTGCCCCCACCCATCTCTGCCTTCGTCCCCTGTACCCCAGCCTAGAGCCCCCCCATACAGGGCAGCTCACGCTGGGACAGAAGCCCTAGAACTGGGGAGAAAGCCCCACACTGGCTCCAGCCCTAGCGGGAGGGCAGATTCAGCAAGAACTTGGACCAAGAGTTGGCAGGTGGAGACTGGGTCCTTCCCCAGCCACCAGTGTCACGCGGCCCCACCCGAGCAGGCTGGCCAGCCTGGGGCGCCCCAGGCTCCGGAGCTTGCGTCTGCAGGCGGCTCTGCTAACCAGGAGTGCTCCCAAAACCACACTGGCTCTGAGCCCAGCTATGTCCCACGGGCGCCGGCGGTCCTGAGCCCCCCGATCCTGCCCTGCCCACGGCCCCTCATCCTCCCTGTCTTTCCTCCTCCACACGGGTCCCTCTGGCCAGCGTACCACCCCTCCCCTCTCCCTAGCTTCCCTCCACCTCCTTGCAAGACCTGCATTCAGGGAAGTATTGGTCATGGGCTGGGGGTTCTGTTGTCCCCAGAAGATGGGACCCCTGCCTGTCTGCGTGTCTGTGCCCTCAGGCAACTTGAGAAGCCACGGCTGCTGCCCACCCCCCCCCCCGCCCCCGCCTTGGACCTGCCCCTGCCACCCGCCTGCTGCCTCCGTGCTGAGCCAGGGGCCCAGGCACCCCTGCGGCGTCCCCCATGTGGCCCTCACTCAGGAGGACAGAACAGAATGGTGTTATCTGTTCAGGCCTCTCCTGGGCTGGGGTCCTTTGGGATCTTCAGGCTTTCTGCAGTTTCCACACTTCTGCCTGAGGGGAGGGCAGGGGCCTTGAAGGGCAGATGCAGAAAAAGATCGGGGAGTAGCGAGCAGCGTGGCCAGGCCTGTCCTCAACCGGTCAGCAGCTGCTTCTGCCAAATGCTGGTCTGCCAAACCTTCTGGGGTCCAGAGCCCCCCCACGGGGGTGAGGAGGGGATACGGGGTGTGGCAGGAGTCAAGACAAGTCAGGCCTTGGAAGGCCCACTGCGGCCGTGTCTAGAGTGAACCTGAGCCCTGGGCTAAGGCCTCTTCCCCCTGCACTCTCCCCCACCTCTAGGGGGACGTCTCCCCTTCACCCCTCACCCCACCCTCCCTCCAGCCCACGCCCCACCAACCCAGAATTCAGGTCCCTGTCTTTAACCTGGTCTCTGCAGACCCCTCACCCTGCTGCCCACCGCGACCCCTCTGCCAGTTCAGTAGGGCGCTGAGGTTCCCAAACTGCTGGCCTGGAGGTGGGCAGAGCCCCCACCTCTCACGTGCTCCTCGCCTCCCCGAGTTCCCGCATGGACGCTCCCTTCCTCAAACCAGACCTCCCAGCCCCTGGCCTCCCACTGCCCTGCTTGGTCCAGCCTCAGGACCCCCGCCTCCCTCACGGCCCTGAGGGTCCCTGAACTCAGCTGTGCCCTCCCACCCGCCCACTTGGGCCTCCTCCTTCCTGCAGCCGCCCACCCACACCCATCCTTGCAGCTCGTGCCCTCTACCCGCCAAGCCCCCACCCACACTCGTCTGGCCCCTGGTCCCTCTGTCCAGGCAGGAGCCTGGCCCCGCTGACCTGTCTGTCTGCTGACCTCTGTCCACACTGCCGGCGAGCCTCAGGTGGGTCACGTGGGCCCTGCCGGGGCACTCGCCCCTCCCCAGGCCCAGTTCCTTCCCCTCCCTCCTCAGCCCCACCCCATCCTGATTTCCTGCCCAGGACCTCGCTCCCTGCTTCCTAGAGGAAAAGCAGCAGCCCAGACCTGCCTCCTCCTTGAGAACCCTGTGCTGATGAGGGGCGGTGCCTGGCACCCCAGCCCATCCCTCCAACGCCCCTTCCCCTGTTCACGCATTAGACACCCAGGCTCCTCCTGACCGCCGATGCCCAGGCCCCCAGGCCTCACCTCCCCGTCACCATCTAGACCAGAGCCTCTCCGCCCCGCAGAGTGCACCTGTCAACATCACAGTGACCTCCACACAGCCTGATCCTCGGCAACTGGGTCCCCCCAGGGCCGACTGTCTCGAGTCCTGTGGCCCCCAGCACCGCCAGGCCCAGGCCCCGCCATCCATGGCCACTGTCCCCAAGGGGCCAGGCTTATCCCCACGGAGACAGAAACACGCCAGGAAAGCTCTTACTGGCCTGCACTGCAGCCAAGCCTGGGTGCGCACAGAAACCGCTCAGCTACTGGATTTACCAAAACACCTTTTATTTACAAAAGTGAAGTCGCAACTATGAGCAACAGCTGACCCTCGCCTGGCCGTGTGCTCCAAGGGTAAACTGAGGCAGTGGGGGCGGGGCTGGGTTTTCCTCCCTAACACCTGCTCCACGGGGCTGTGGGCAGGGGCAGGAGCTCCTTGGAGAGAACTAGGCTCCGTCTGCAGACGCCCTTGCCAGCAAATTGTGTGATTCTGCCAATCTGTGACAACCATCCTGGCCTGCCTGCTTCCCCGTGGGCCTCAGGCCCCACCCCACCCCTGGGAAAACAGGTGACTCTTTCTCAGTCCCAGGCGACTGCCCGTCTGTCTGCCCGACAGCAGTGGAAACCCCTGACTCGAGGAGGAACAAGCAGGCAGCTTTCCACGGTGTGGGAGTGGGAGGGGTCAGTGAGGCCTGGAGCAAGGCCGGGGCTCCACGGAGCTGGCCAGGGGCCTGGGAGCAGCAGGGGCATGGGCCCCTCACACAGGAGGTGAGCGCCTCCCGGGACCCAGCTCAGGGCGCGGCTGAGTGCAAGGCAGGGTGCCCTGCCCACAGGAGGCCCCAGCAACGGCCACGTCTAGGAGAGGGTCTGTGGGGCAGGAACACGGAGCCTCCTTTCCAGGCCGACCAGGGCCACGCCCCCGGCAGGGGCCCTGCCCGCCCTGAGCAGCCCCAAGCAGAGCCTCAGAGCACAGCCGGGGCAGGTACCGCCGGCAGGGGCAGCTCCAGGGCTGGCGTCTCGGGGGCCTGGGCTGGGCTGGGCTTCCGGTGGTCCAGCTGCTCCAGCTTCTCTCCAAGTTGGGAGTACAGTTCCTTCACCGCCTCTCCACTCTGTGGGGGAGGCCCAGGGCACGTGTGTGTACCTGCCCACGCACACACACCCACACACACGGGCAGGCCGGCACAGGGACACACGCACACGCACACACACACACAGACCAGTGCGGGGGATACACACACCCATGCACAGGGTCGGGCCAGCACAGGCAGCGCAGCCCAAGGGCGCAGGCGGGTGTGGGGGGCGCACCTGGCCCGTGGGCTCCAGCGCCTTCTGCAGCGCCTCCAGCTTGGACGGGGCCACCCGGTGGTGCAGGTGCAGCAGGAGCCGCAGGACGTGCCGCTGCACACTCTCCTTCCTGGGGGAGGAGCCGGCAGGCTGCAGGCGGCCCAGAGCCCCGGCCCCCACCCAGCTGTGTGCCTTACCGAGGCCCCGCCCCCGCCCTCCACCCCCGACCCAGAGGCCCCGCCCCCACCCTCCACCCCCAACCCAGAGGCCCCGCCCCACCCCGCCCCCACCCCACCCCTCTCCCCGGGAGAGAGGAAGGCACCTTGGGGAGGCGGTGAGGAGGAAGCCATCGAAGAGGCTGCTGCAGAAGTCCTCCAGGGCGAACTCGTCGGCCAGCAGGGCTAGGCTGCCCGTGAGCAGGTGCAGGAAAATGTCCCCAAACGCCAGGTCGCCGAAGGTCTCCACTGCAAGCACAGCAGGCGTCCCCCAGCTGCCCCCCACCTCCCCGGCCGGGCCTGAGACAGAACCGACAAGTGCTGGGGGGCCTGGGGGCCCTGGGCCTAACTGGGGGCGGGTCCCAGGGCAAGGTGGGGAGGGGACAAGATCCTGTCGTGGGGTTTTGCCCAGCAGCCCAGGGGATCAGGGTGAAGTGGACTCCAGCACACACACAAGTGCCAAGGCGGGCAGCCCCTCGAGCCCACCAGACTGTGGCACTCGAGGGGAGGGAACGGAGCAAACGGGCCTTCTTTTAAAAGCCAGGGACATCAAACCCCGGGAGACAGACGGTGAAGCTAACTACCACCACGTCACCCCGTCACCGGGAGCTGTGACCTCGGAAACGCGGGCACTGCGGAGGCACAGAGCCCCCACTGCACCCGCCACAGCTGACGGAGGTCTCCGCAGCCTTGCCCGGCTCACGCGACCCTGAGGCAGGCGCACGGTCAGCGTGCCAAGGGACGCGGCCAGCCAAGCCCCAGCCGGGGAACAGGTGCCCTGGTTCCCCCGACAAGCCCCACGTAGCCCTGCAGACCCCAAGACCTGAGGGGCAGCAGGAGAAGTGAGCTGAGGGAAGACCCCTGTCTGACTCCTGACCTGAACAGGCCACCTGCACGAAAACTAATATTACACAATGGGGGAAACTGTCAGGGCCTGGACCCTGACTAACCGCGCTGCAGTCACGGCTTTAAGACTCCACCTCCCATCAAGACACCTGCTGGGCTGTTCCGACCTGGTCTGCTGGGCCCGGGCCGAGTCCAGCCCATCACTGAGGGGACGAAAGCCACACACAGCCCCCTGCAGGTGGGCAGTGGGCCCTGGGCTTCACTAACCTGCACTTGAGTTCATAAAAAACTCCCACCAAAAAAACGTTTAAAAGCAAAGAGAATTTTTTAAAACTGATACCCATCTTTACTAGAACCTTGCAGTAACAACAAAGCAGCTTCCTCTCCAGGTGATTAGAGACCCGCCCAGTGGGTGGGATTAGACCTGCGCCCGGCCCACCAGGTGGGCAATGTTGACACTCCCGCCTCCAGGACACCCATGTCTACACACGTGACTCAACCAGACAGACACAAAAGTTCCCAAGTGAGCAGGAAGAACGCGGTTAACCCAAGTTTCTAGAACTATGCTCCTAGAAGTCCCCCAGCAGAGAACTCCCCCCACAGAGAACTCCACATGCTGATACTAGAGCCAGGGAGCTCGCCCCCCACCACCGTGGTATGGGGCCCGAGGGGAGATGGTCCGGCGGGCCCCTTAGGAGAGGGAGGTGGCTGGTGCGAGTGCCAGGTCAGAGCCAAAGACACAGAACAGGAGAAGCTGGACAGATGAGCTGTGACGGGGCCAGGGCCAAGGACGGGGTTTCTGGGAGCTGGAGGGGACAAGAAGGGTCTTTTCCAGGGCCTCCAAGAGGAGCAAGCCCCACCCATACCTGCTTTAGCCTTGAGAGACCCACTGTAGACATCCGGCTCCCAGAAGCCTAAGAGTTAATTAAGTTCCTGTTCACCAGTGAGGTGGTGGCTATATAGAAACTAATACCCCCAATAGGCAGCCTCCTCCATAAAGAAAAGCCTGGAAACAACTGGCACCATCATCAGACCCATCAATGACCCACGTGCAGGCTGAGCGAGCAGCATCACACCCTCTCCACGAAGCCGCAACGCCCCGACGGGACTGAGCTGGCAGAGGCCCTCGGCCTGCTGTGGGGTGGGCAGGCTGGGTGCCCCCGACTGGCACCCACGTCCCGACTCAGCCTGCAGCTGGCTCTTGAAGGGGCCCCCAGATGCCCCCCGGTCTTCCTGGCTTGCAGGGTCCCTCCAGCGTGCAGAGCAAGGTTGCCGGGGGAACTGGCCTCTCCGCTACCTTGGTGGGGAGCTCGCTCGCCCTGGTCTGAGGAGCTGGGAGGCTCCGGGCCCCTTGCCCGTTAGGGAAAGATGACACCGGCTCTTCGGGAACACGGGCTGTGGCGAGGGCAGAGGGCGTCTGGGGAGGGCAGGCTGTGTCCTGCCACCCGCACACTCACCGAGCCCCGGCAGCAGGCGCAGCAGCGCGTTCTTGTTCCTCTGCTTGGTGATGTGCAGCACGTAGTACAGCCCCACCTCGCAGGCCATGCGCTGCTCCTGCAGGAACCTGCGCCCCAGCGCCGTCAGCCCCGCGGGGGCCCGCCAGCCAGGGCCCGCCCCCGCCCCGCCCGCAGCCCTACTTGGTGAAGCTCTCCGGCAGTGTGTTTGGGTACGTGACCGGGGCCTTCTCCTCGGCTGGGAGCTTCTGATCCACGTTGAAGGTGTGGTCCTCCACCACGAAGGACATGAGCGTGGGCAGGAACCTGGTGACCAGCTCCACCTCCTGGGGCGCAGGCCCAAGAGCTGTCGCACACCATGCCGACCCCCGACCCATCCTCTGGCCACCCCCAGTCGTGGGCCCGGCGCCCCCAAGCCCCTCGTGAAGGAGCCCGCCTAACCCTGTTACCATCTTGGGCTCCTTGAAGACCTGGCTGTCGATCATGTCCCACGCGCCCTGGCCCAGCGCCAGCAGCCGGAGCAGCAAGAGGAGGTCCGGGCTGTCCTGCAGGGAAACGCAGGCCTCAGTGGGCTCGCCCAGTGTCCTGCCCTGACCGCATATGCCCAGGGCTCAGGCCCAAGTGCCCTCTGCCTGGAGGAAGCATGGGCTCACCCCAGGGTCACGCCCGACTGCCGCGGGCGGCTGGCCGGGCGCACTCACCCTGGGTAGCACCTCCTGGCCCACCAGCTCCTGCAGGTGCCTGACAGTGCTCAGAGACAGGGTGTTGATGGCGAAGGGGTCACACAGGATCATGGACAGGTCCCTGGGATGACACACCCACAGCCTCAGCGAGGGAGACTCCCGGCCCGCGGAGCCACCGGCCTGGGAGCCAGCCCTTCCTGCTGACCAAGCTGCCCCACTGTGGCCCATTTTCTAAAACCTCACGGTTCACAACTTTCCCTTCACATACCCGATAAACTGAAAAACCACAGGTTTTTTAAAAGTTAAGGTCCCATTTTGGTCGAGATTCTGACCCAGGCTCTATAAATTCATTCAGGTCCCCTCAAGCCCAATCCCAGACAGAAGCTGGGACAGGGCCCACCCAGACAGCACCTTGCCTGTAGCCAGACCGCCACCTCTGGACGCAGCAGGCCTGTCTGTTCACGGGCAGGCCCAGTCCAGGTGCCCAGCGCGGCCGAGACGCCACAGCCCCACCCCGGCAGCCGAGCCTCTGTTGCGGGCACGGGTACCAAGTGGTCCCCCTAAAAACGCACAGGAGGAAACGCCACTCCCGACGGCAGGCTCGGACAGGCACCCACACCAAGCGGACCCTCACCCTAGGACTTGCTCCTGCCCCTTCTTCACTCCGTCAAGGAAGCCCTGTAGCTCGCGGGCCCTCTTGCTGTCCACGAACCGCTCTCGGATGCAAGCGTCCAGGCACCAGGTGAACTGCGGGGAGAAGGCAGGGTCAGGACTCGGCCAGAGACCGCGCCTCCAGGCAGCTTTCCCCGTTGCCTGAGCATCCAAGCCTGGGGTGGGCACCAGGATCCCCACCTCGTGTCACCAGGGCCCCGCTTGGTGCGAGGAACAGGACCACACAAAGCAAACGGGCCCAAGGACCCACACCCCACAGGCCCGGCGGCGCAGGAGAGGTCACTGTGTTTTGTTCTGAAACAGGCCTTCCCGTGGTTCCCACTGCACGATGGGCAGTGCCGGCTCAGAGTGTAACGCCACGAAGCCCCTAGGGACGCCGTGGGGGGGGTCACACCGCGTCCACGTCAGGACGGGGCAGTGCGGAAAGCCCTGTTCCACAACACGGAGCTCACCAGGAGGGCTCTGGAGTGGGGGAGACAGACCCCGGGGAGAGCAGGGCGGCAGGGCGGCGGGGGCGGGGGGGGGAGAGGGGTGGGCTCGGGGCCAGGGGTCCGACACTGGGCCCCCTGGCTGGGGGCAGAGGCTGCAGGGCAGGGGGCAGGCGGGACCACAGCGCCGCAGGGGCCCCACCTTGTGGCAGGGGTCCACGGAGCAGATGTCGCCCACGTCCAGGTCGTGCAGGGACATGAGCAGCTCGGCGCGCAGCGTGCAGTAGTGCACGTTGCGGGTGCGCAGGAAGAGCGTGCGCAGGAACTGCAGGACCATGTCGTAGAGCTTCACGTTGCGCCCCACCATCCGCGTCAGCCTCTGCACCACCTGCCGGGACGCCAGGCCTCGCACCCCGCCCGCCCCCTGGCCCCGCACCCCCGACCCACTGGGCTGGGCTCCTCTTTCACAGAACAACGGCTCACGCTGGGGGCAACGTCTCTGGTTTGGAGGACGGTGAACCATCAGGCCCCAAGGTTCCTCTGAGGGTGTCAGCCTTGGCCCCAGACTGCACATCAGTTGGGCCTGCTGCGGCCACCCCGCTCCCACCTTCTGTGACTGGCATGTGACATCTAACGTGTGGGGTCCACCCCTTGGGAGCCTGAGTACCCCAGGAGGTGCCCTGATCCCTGGGGTCACTAAAGGGTCCAGGCACCCGTGGCAGTGAGTCAGTATCCAAAAAACACTAGTTGCACAAGAAACAAATCAGAGCCAGACATGGGGAGACCCCAGGGCTGCGAGCAGACAGAGGTGGCCAAAAAGGCCAGCCAAGTCACCCAGCACGAAGCACTGAGAAAAGACCAACGAGATCCACACGTAGGGACGGTGCTGAGATGCCCCTGGCAAGCCCCGCAGATGGGCCCAGGCCTCCAAGAGCAGACAGGCCGGCGTTCAAGGGGCCGGGAAGGGGCTGGCCAGGGAGGCCCGCACACAGCCCCGCCCCACCTCACCTCGCCCTGGCGCCGGGTTTTGGGGGAAGGGCTGAAGAAGTTGTGCAGGACAGAGAGCTCCGTGCTGAAGAGCGCGCTCTCCTTCTCCACGATGTACTGCTTCAGCAGCGGGGAGACCTCGTCCCCGAAGAGCGCCTGGTTGTCCTGCCAGATCTGCCGCTTCACCTCCACCGCGCAAGCCCGGTACAGCTCCTTGTCGGCCATCACCAGCTTCAGCTTCTTCTCAGGAACCTACATAACCCACAAGCCACTGTCAGCAGCACCCTGCCCCAGCGGTCTCCCTCAAGACAACTAGCAGGCCTCAGCCCCCCCACGGGAGAGACCACATCCAGCCCAGCCCAACTGACAGGGACAGCTGGGACCGGGCCCCCAGGCTGTGGCACAGGCAGCAACCACAGACAGGTTTTTTCCCAGAAGGGGTTCCACGCCCCGGAGCTCACACCAAGCTCCAGTGTCTGCTAGGCTCAGGGAAGAGCCAGCACAGGGAACCGTGCTCCGAAGCCACCCTTCGCGGGCAGGCAGCTCAGGAACGCTGCCCAGAGGGAGCCGGCCAGGCAGCCGTTACCTTGGGCAAGTGCTTCATCACGCACATCACCACTGGCTGCAGAGACGGCATCTTCACCAGAGAAAAACTCTTCTCCAGGAGGTCCTCCAGTTTCTTATACCTGGGAAAACTTACATTGCTGAGGAAGCAGCACAAAACCAAGGAGGAAGCAGCCACCTGTGGGTCCCCAGACCGGTGGTGTCACGGGCGGCTCCCTTTTCAGGAAGGATGTGTAGCCACGGGGAGGTGAGCGCTGCTGACTGGGGGTTCCTGGCTGGGGAGGGGGCTGCCTGTCTCACTGACCTTTCCTCGGCCTTCCCCTCTGAAGCGATGGCGGACACACGCTCCAGCAGCTTGTCCCGAAGCTCATCAAAAACCGACTGGTGGAACTCCAGCCGCGGCGTCCCGTGCAGGTCCAAGAAAGGCAAGGCGGACTGCAGGGAAGGCAGGAGCACGCCGTTCTCTGTCTAAGGAAGCAGAGGTCGGCGTTGCTTCCTCGGGGCGGCAAGAGAGACCTCAGCGGCACCCGCTCGTGGTCAGGCACCCCGGCTGCCCCGAGCGCGCGAGGAGGCAGGCAGAAGGGTGTCCGCGCCGCGCCGGCTGTAGCAGCTGATGCTGGGAGCCGCCCGCCGGCCTAAGCGACCCGAGCTCGGCGTGTCCGGCCCCTCCGGGCCGCGGAGCAGACGGATACGCCCACTTCACACGCGCGCCCGCGCCCGGCCCCTCGCGCAGCCTCACCTGGAACTGCTCGATGGCCTTGAGCGGCTCCGTGCAGTTGGTCAGCGTCTCCTTCAGGTCCTCCCCGTTGGCCACACCCAGATCCTGCAGCCCCGCAAACAGGGCCGAGGCCCCGGTCCCCACCCGGCCCGGCGCCCCATCCCCGCCGCGCTCCCCCGGCGCTGCCGCGCTCGCCACGGGCCCTGCATTGGTCCTCTCGCCCGGGCCTCGGGGGCCGCCCGCGCTCCGCTCCCCGGCGCCCTCCAGCTCGGCCAGGTCCCTCCCGAGGCGCCGCTCCGCTCTCCCCGCAACTGCCCACTTCCGCTCCTCGCAGCCAGGTCCGCCCGCCAACGGGCTCCCCGGAAACGCCGCCGCCGTCGCGCAGGGGTTCCCGGGAGGAACGTCGCGTCCCGCGCCCAGCAGAGACAGAGCGCGAAGGCGGTTCCCGGATGACGCATGGGTCGCCGCCGAAGCCCCGCCCACCGGTCCCGCCCGGCCCTCCTGCGCGGCCCCGCCCAACCTCCCGGGGCCAGCTTCCCCTCGCTGAGTAAAACGCGGTTCAGGGGCGGGTCCCTGGGAAGCGAACACCAGAACTGGGCTGGAACCCCGGGGGTCGGTGCCACCGGTGGGTTGGCCTGCTTCAGGAGATTCAGAACTGACACTTTAGCCGAGTGCGTTTGACTTAAGAAATTTTTGGCCGCGCGCCGGGAATTGAACCCGCATCGCCCTGCAGTGGAAGTGTGGAGTCTTAATCACCGTACCGCCAAGTGCATTTATTTTTTTTAATATTTATTTGGCTGTGCCGGGTCTTTGCGGCTCGCGGGATCTGCGTTTTAATAATCATGAAAAATCCTTTTGCTGACCTCAGCGCCCGCCAGCTGCAGGACCCTCTCATCCTGGAACTTGCTTTCCTCCCTGTCCAACCCGAAGAAGCTCACGCCACAGAACTGTCGCAAAGACCAGACTCTAATGGGAAGTGCCTCAAAGTAGGAAGTGCCTAGCAGAGACCCGGGCATGCAGTGGCAGTGTGACAAAGATGGCTGTCCTCTCACTGCCTTGAGCGTCTAATCCCCTGACGAACCCAAAGTGCCAGGCCCTCAGGCTGAGGTCCAGCCCCACTCAACAGCCCACCTTGCAACACAAGAAGCCCATACAGGGCTCCTAGTGCCCTGACCTCGGGCCAGACTCGAAAGGTCAGGGCTCCATAGCTCTGGTCAGCCCAGGGCCCAGTGCCCGTGGCCTGCCGTCCCACTGTTCTGAGTCCTGGGGTGCTGAGGCTTGGCCGCCAGCTGGCTCAGCCCTGGAGGAGGGTCCAGTGCACAGCACTCACCCTCCCCTGTCCTTGGCCTCCCTGCGGAAAGGGATGATGCCAGCACCGTGGGAGTAGCTCTCGTGGTACCTGTTGAAAGGGTTGAGCTTGGACAGAAGAAACAGAGGAGGGGGTCTGGCAGAGGGCTTGGGGGACACGGGGAGGGCCCCTGGAGGAACTGGTGCAGTGACAGGAGTCACCGCAAGCTGCAGGAGGCCCCTTCAGGGAGGCAGTCTTGGGGCCAACCCCTGTGCAGGAGGGCGGGTTGATGGCTGGCAATGAGGAGCCCATGCCAGGCTGCAACTGTGGGCAAGGCAGGGCCTCACGGTGAAGCCCAGGGCGTCTGTTGACCGCAGCCTGGCCTGCACGACTCTGGCTGAGCTCACAGGGTCTTTGGGCAGCTGCAGGGGGATGCGGAGCCAGGCCCTAACGAGCGGGTCCTCTGGGCCTTACCTGGCCAGAGAGCACGCTGACCCCCACTCAGGATGGCAGCTGACTGTTCCCCATCTCCACCCCAGCAGTTGACTCCTCAGCTCAGCAAGCGGCCCGACCCTTGGAGAGTCCGGCAGCTGGACCCCTCCACTGGCTGGCACAGCTAGGTGGGGGCGTTCGCACAGCCCACAGGGCCCTATCCCCCCACCTCCGCCCCAGGCCAAGCAGGCTCAGGCTGCCACCCCCGCCACCCTAGAGAAGAGACCCTGGCCAGGGCACAGCAGACGTGACAGGTCAGCTGCAGGCCACGTCTGCAGGACGCCTTGGGGGGAGGGCCAGCGGTCAAGCAAGCACACAGAACTCGGACGAACCAGCAACACCTCGGTATATAGCGAGGGGGTGGGCCCGCCTCGTCCTCAGCTCAGAGGGGTTGGCTGGTCGGGAGGGTGGATCAGAGGGGCTCAGAGGCAGAAGGCCAGGCCGGGGGGCACTGAGTTCCAGAGGGAGGCTCAGCAAGGCCCCCAGGGGAGCAGGATTTCATGTGCTAACCCGGCAGGCTGGGTGCACCTCGCGGGCTCTAGAGTGCACAGAACGGGCCAGTGTCGTGGCGCTTGGGCCTCCGCACACCTTGGATGACCACCCCGGGTGCCGAGGGGAGCCATGACCTGTAGCAGTCCTCCACGTTGTAGGCGGCCGGGCCTGGGGTGCAGGCTGCAGAGGGGAGGCAGGTCCAGTCACTGTGCCCACCTGTGCTGCCCAGGCCCACCCCTCCCGTCCCCCGCCTCCACCCCCTTACAGGAGCCCACCCAGGACGCCAGCAGGGGCGAGCGACCCATGGAGAAGGCAGGTGGGCACGGGCCCTTCAGACGGCAGCCGGGAAGGATGTTGTAGGTGCTGGGGCCAGGGCCCGTCTTGTCCCCTGTGGGCGGAGGGGCCTGCAGGAGGGGCTGGCCCCGGGGCCCCATGCCCCAGGCCTGCAGCACCCCCTGGCGGGCTTGGACCTCAGGTGGCCTGGAGGTAGGGCGGCCCCTGAAGCTGAAGGCCGGGCACGCAGGCGGGCTGGGCAGCTGGTAGTCCGCAGGCGATGGCCACTGTGGGGAGATGTGGCTGCTGCAGGCCCGCCCCTCAGGGTGGCCCACCCTGCCCAGGACCTGCCAGGCCGACCCCCACCTTCTGCTCTCGACTGAAGTCAGCTTTCTGAGTGAAGGGGCTTTCACTCTGGAACCACACAGTCTGCCACGCCCTGCGGCCACCACCTTCTGCAGTGGGGACAGGGTCACAGGGGTGCCGTTGGCCAGGGTCCCTCTCCAGGTGAGAGGGCGGGTGGTGGGGGGTGCGGGGAGGGACACGCACCGTGGGTGGGGTGCCTGCAGCCGATGCTGAAGTGGGGGTGTGGGGAGGACTCTCGCACTGATGCGTCTGGCACCTGGTACTTGGTGGGGCCAGGAACATGCAGGTCGGTCACAATGGGAGGGCGTTGCTCCAGCACTGGTGGAACAAGCCCTGGGCCTGGGTCCTCCCAGCAGCCCCCGCCCACCCCTGCCTGCTCCCCTGACCGGCCCGGGGTTGGGGAGCCCGAGCCCTCACTCACACAGCTCCCTCAGGTTCCGAGTAAGGGGCTCCTGGAGGGGGCTGGTTTGCGTCCTGAGCCCCACCTGGAGCTCCTGCACCGCTGGGGGCCACATCTCCTCCCTGGAGGCCCCCAGCCCTGGTTCCAGGCCTGACAACAGCACAGTAGCATTGAGCCTGCAAGAGACACGAGCAGCCACCATCCACGCAGCCGGAGGGCCACCCCAGGCCGCTGCCCCCCAGCCAACCCACCGCGCGGGGAGTTACTGGGAAGTCACAGGTGGCTTCTGCTTCAGGGAGCCATGGGTCCAGTGTCTGCCTCCATTGATATGAAAATTTGCCAGGAATTTCACCACCTTCTGGTCAAAATTCATTATCAGGGTCTCTGGCTCCCCTCCCCTAGGGACATCACAGGGCTCTGTGACCTCACTGACTGGACATGGGTCCCCCCCATTGCCAGGGACTCCCTGGGAAGCACTGTCCAGCCCTTAAGTGCCCCTCCCCTGGCCCGCGAGGTGGGTTGCCCTGGGATCAGCCGCGCCCAGCAGGCCCCCAGGAGGCCCCCAGCAGGCCCCGGGAGGCCCCCGTGACCCTCGACTCCCCGCTGCCCTTCCTCCCTCCTCCCCTTTCTTGTCCCAGTCCTTCCGATGTCCTGGACTTTCGGGTCTCCCAGGGCCCTAGGGTCCACTCTAGTAGCGCTGAGGAAGGACTAAGGCCCGGACAGAGGGTGGAGAAGGGAGCAGGGGCTGTGGGCTGCTGAGCCTGCAGGGCCAGCTGAAGGAGACACGGGGGAGGCAGGCCTGGCGGCTCAGGCGAGGCTGGGGCACTGTCCTCGGGCGCGCAGCGGTGGACGTCATCACAGACACAGGGGCTGCTGAGGCTGAAACACGAAGGCACGATGAGGCTGGGTGAACGGGAGTCCGGGTGGGCGCCAGGCCCCCGCAGTGCCTTCTGGAGCCGACCAGCTCCGGCCCTGGCCTTGGCCTCACCTGAGCAGCACAGCCAAGGATGTCCTGTCCCCCACGCTCGCCCGCCCGTCTCTCCCTCTCCAAGGCCCTCCCATCCGGCACCGCCGGGCCTGCCTGGCGCTCCTGTCGGTAGCGACTCGCTTGAGGAAATGCACCTTTAATCAGGGCAAGGGGCTCCCCGCCTGCTCCTGGGTCGCTCCCCGGGGAGCAGCTCGGGTTCCCCGGGATGAACCGTGCCACAGCAGATGACACGCACATCTGCGTTCTGCGGGCCGTCTGCTCGGGACCGACGTGCCGAGTGGAAGCCACAGGTCAAAGCCTGGCCGCCTGTGTCCCCACGTGAGAGGCCGTCTGTGCTGGGGAGGCGCGTCGGGCCGCCAGCGTCCTCCTGGTCTAACCAAGGCTCGGCCCTCACTGACTCTGGGCATGCTTCACGTGCTTTTCTACTGGTCGTTACCTTCTCCTAGGTCTGCTTCATGAGCTTGTTTCTGCTGATATCCTATCTGCACGCGACACTTGGTGCAGACGCTTCCCCCAGTCTGGCATCGGTCTCTTGCTATTGATTATACTGGTTTTTGACATGTTCTTGAACCTGCTAACTGTCCCCTTTATGCTACCTTTCTTCGTTTTTATGCTTAGAAAGTCCTCCCTACACCAAAAAAAAAAAATCAGGATTTGTTTTAAATGGAAAATAGTGACAGATAAGAGACGTGGGTTCGATCCCTGGGTCGGGAAGACCCCTTGGAGAAGGAAATGGCAACCCATTCCAATCTTCTTGCCTGGGGAATTCCATGGACAGGGGGGCCTCTGGGCTACAGTCCGTGGGGTCGCAAAGATTCAGACGTGACTTAGTGACTTAAGACAGCAATGCCAGCTCCAGGGCAAAGACCCTCGAGGACAGAGTCCCAGAGGCTCCGGGCCTCAGGAGGCTCACTTGCTGAACCTCGTGCCTTCAGAGTGGCCTGCGCCTTGTGTCTGAGGAGGGGCCTTGGGGTGGGGGGCTCCCTTAGCCTTACCCCGAGCGGCTGCTTTTCACTGGGTTCCCGGCCTCCCATGCGTTGCAAGCGCCCTGGCCCAGGCCTGCTCCTCACTGCCCAGCGGGGCTGCCTCTGGGGTTCCTGTTCTCCAAGTGCTAGGTCCCCAGTGTGATGCCCCCAGCCTGTGGCCCCGCCTTGAGGCGGGAGTGCTCACAGGTGTGGGCAGGGCTGCCCAGCAGTCAGGCCTCCTCACAATGGTTGCCAGGCAACAGGGCTCCTTTCTGGGAAGGAGGCAGGCACAGGCACGGGGCTGGAGGCAGCCCCGCAGAACTGAGGTGCAATGACAGCCACTCAGAAGCACAACCTTTTCTCACCAGAACCTCACTACATCCCTGGGTAAGCACCACAGCCCTGGGGCAGGCCTGGGGTCCCCGGGGGCGGTGGAGCATGGCCCGGGCCGTGAGGGGTGAGGGGACCCCAGAGCTGGGTCTCCAGGAAGCTGAGGCCAGAGCAGGGGCTCTTGGGCAGGAGCCGGGAACCGGGGTGCCTGGGGAGCGGGGTGAGGCCGCGGGCCGGTCAGGAGGGCAGGGGCAGGTTTGCAGGGGCCTGGCTGGCCCACCCTGCTGGTGCAGCCCTGCCACGTGGCCCACATGTCTGCGGGAACAGAGACCGGGGACAGTGCGACAGTGGGGGGCGCTGGCCTCTCCCTCCAGTGTGCGTCCCGCTTTAAAGAAGAGCTGAGCTGGGACAGGGATTAGACTCTCCGCTTCCACCGCAGGGAGCAAGCATTCGGTCCCTGGCCCCGGAGACTAAGACCTTGCGTGACTTGTGCCCCCAAAACATGAAAAAGTAAAATGAAAAAATAAAGACGAGATGAGCACCTGGAGTGAATCGACGGGCATGGCCTTCAGGCCACCTTGCTAGGTGTCCCCACGTCAAAAACAGAAACGGGCACTTCTCTGGGGGGTCTAACGGTTAAGACACTATGCAGGTGGCACAGGTTCGATCCCTGGTTGGGGAACGAGGATCCTGCCTGCCACGCAGTGTGACCAAAAATGAACAGAAATGGGCCTCAACAGCGTGTGTGCACACTGACACACACTCAGACCACATGCAAAAAAAGGCGAGTTAGAGCAGAACCAACTCTGGTGATACTGAAGAGGCCCTGAACTTCAGCCTCAGCCTCACTCAGCTGGTTGACTAACAAACCTGCATTCACTTGAGCCGTTTTTTAATAGATTTTATTTTGTATGACCCCGGCTGCACTGGGTCTTTGTGCACGGGCTCTCCCTAGCTGTGGTGAGCAGAGGCTGCCCCTCACGGTGGTGCTCAGCCTCTAGTGCAGTGGTGTCTGGCGGAGCACAGGCTCGAGGGGCAGAGGCTTCAGGAGTTGCAGCAGGCAGGCTCAGTGGTCATGGGTGCTACTACAACGGCCTTGGTTGCTTTGTGGCATGTGGAATCTTCCCAGACCAGGGATTGAGCCCGTCTCTCTTGCACTGTACCACCAGGCAGGCTTTAAAAAGAAAACAGCGCACACTCCTTGCTGTGACACAGGCCACTCCTCGGGGCTTAGCCGTGGCGCCCACGCCACTTCCCCACGGGCCTGAATCTACCCCACCAGCAGCGTCCCCCACACCCTCCCAGTATCCTGCCGGCTCTCCTGGGCCTCAGCCCAAGGCCCAGCCCGTCTCCTCCCTGCGATGCTTCGGGAGGCAGAGCTCCCCGTTCTCTCATCTTTCAGCCCCTTGTTGGAAAATGGCTGGCGGATGGCACCCGGATGGTGGGGAGGACGACGCAGCTCCCCTGCCACGGGCCAGGCCTGCTCTCGGCGCTTGGCCTGAGTTGCCCAGAGGGCAGGGCTGCCGTGGCCCCGCCCATCTGCAGCCAGCAGACCGGACCCACACCTGCTCGTGGGGCCCTGCCTCACCCTCTCGCCTGCAGTTACGCTGGCTTCTACCCGCAGCTGCGCTACCAGGTGGGCAGCACCTACGGGCGCACCACGGCACAGCTGCTCACAGACCCCAGTGTGCACAAGAGCCCCTGCTCCGTGCTGGCCCCCATCGCCAAGCCCAAGTTCATCGAGGACTTCAGCAAGCCCAAGCCACCTTTTGTGCCCTGCCGTGACCTGACCGAGCCCTACATACCCCACTACACTGGTAAGCCACCTGCCCCCCCAACCCTGGCCCTACCACGCCCCAGGATGCCCTCTTGCCTGCTGTGGCTCAAGTCTGCCCTGTCTACACAGGTCTGAAGCCCTACAAGAACTTTGAAATGCTGGGCCGATTCCCACCCCAGGAGGCGGATGCCCAGGGGTCCCTGGGGGGTGAGAATGTATCCAGGCAAGAACCACTGCCTGCAGGCTTCATGCCCTTTCCCCCCTATGCCCCCTGCCCTCCGGGCAGGAAGGGGGACTCCAGGGACCTTGGACACCCGGGGCTGCGGCTGGCACTCGGGGAAGAGGCCTGGAAGAGCACCACCCCTGCCTGCGAGGCCCCCGGGCAGTACCAGGTAACTGAGGGACACCCTGGGAACACGGGCCCCAGGCCCCACCCCAGCCAGACCTGGGCAGGGGCTGGGCAGTGACCTGCGCCTCCCCACTTCAGCTGTACCACTGCAGGAGGGACCGGTCCCCACCCCTCGCCCACTGGCAGGAGACACTCGACGTGGGCAGGTTCCACAGGCTGCCCCAGCTGGACCACCCCAACCTGATCCAGCGCAAGGCCATCTCAGGTGCGTGCCCTCCCCACCAAGGGCCCAGGGGGGAGAGCAAGTGAGGAGGCTGCCCGTGGGCCCTTCCCAAGGGTGGGCGCACTGAGGGCCCACTCCTCTTCCGGAAGGGGTTGGAGCCCACACACACTGCCGACACCCCTGGGGGCAAGTGGGGACCTGCAGGGGACCCTGACCTCCTCCCTCCCCAGGTTACGCAGGCTTTGTCCCTCGGTTTGCCTGGGTGATGGGGATGAATTATCGCGATGGGGTCACACAGGCTATGGACGAGTTCGACAAGAGCCAGGTGTGTGACCACCCCCCCTGGGTGAGCAAGGCCGTCTCCACCCTCTGGCTTCCCTGGAGGAAGCTCTGCCGGCCCAAAGAGGCTATCCCCTTCCCGCCCCCAGCCATATCCTTCTGACTAGGTCTTGGCTCCCAGGTCTGGAGTGTCATGGGAAGGGAAGACCCCTGAACCACTCACTTCCCAAAATGCCAGCCTTAACCCGCACCCCCCCCCCCCGCCCCGGGACATTCTGCTCAGTGGTTTCCAGCTGAGGGAGGCAGGATATGGCAGCACCAACCTGCCTGTTTCCTCAGTTTCTGCTCAGAAATCCCGTCTGTGCCCTGGGCGAGAGGCTGCCCCGAACACACTGGCCCAGCAACACTATCTACAGAAGCCAGGGCCTGATACCTTTCTACATGGGCTTCATACCATGTGAGTGACGCGGGCTCCTCTTACGTCGCGGCGACAGGCCACCGTTGTGCGGGGCCGGGGGTGGGGCTCTCTCAGCCAAGGTTCCCTCAGTGCCCCCGCCCCCAGTGCGGAGGGGGCTCGCCCGACAGCCCTGATCAAGAGCCAAGAGGCCCAGTGCCTCCACACCTCGCTGGCCTCCTGGGGGTTTGCAGTGCCCAGGCTGGGCCCGCCTCCGGGAGGCAGCCCGCAGCTCCCAAGCCTGCGTGTTCGCAGGCCGCTGCCGCCGCAGCAGCCCCATGTGCCCCGTGCACGCAGCGAGGCCAGGGGCTCAGCCGCAGCGTTGCCCCTCAGCCATGCAGGGCAGCTACGCACTGACCTTCGGCAACAGCACCCGCAAGGCCTACGCGAAGGAACTGCAGAGGCACAGCCAGACACTATGAAAACGCTTTAATGGTGGCGGCTGTACAGAACGTGATGTCGGGACGGGAAAGCACACACACAGTGGACAGACTACCAGAGCGGCTGTGAGTGAATAAAGAGTCCCCACGGCCCCGGCCTCCGGCTCTGGCGGCTCTAGGCCACCTCCTCCTCGGCCTCCTCCTCGAACTCGCCCTCCTCCTCGGCCGTGGCGTCCTGGTATTGCTGGTACTCGGACACCAGGTCGTTCATGTTGCTCTCGGCCTCGGTGAACTCCATCTCGTCCATGCCCTCGCCCGTGTACCAGTGCAGGAAGGCCTTGCGCCGGAACATGGCCGTGAACTGCTCCGAGATGCGCTTGAACAGCTCCTGGATGGCCGTGCTGTTGCCGATGAAGGTGGCCGACATCTTCAGGCCGCGGGGCGGGATGTCGCACACGGCCGTCTTCACGTTGTTGGGGATCCACTCGACAAAGTAGCTGCTGTTCTTGTTCTGCACGTTGAGCATCTGCTCGTCCACCTCCTTCATGGACATGCGGCCCCGGAAGACGGCGGCCACGGTCAGGTAGCGGCCGTGGCGCGGGTCGCAGGCGGCCATCATGTTCTTGGCATCAAACATCTGCTGGGTCAGCTCGGGCACTGTCAGCGCCCGGTACTGCTGGCTGCCCCGGCTGGTCAGCGGGGCGAAACCGGGCATGAAAAAGTGCAGGCGGGGGAAGGGGACCATGTTGACAGCCAACTTCCGCAGGTCAGCATTGAGCTGGCCTGGGAAGCGCAGGCAGGTGGTGACCCCACTCATGGTGGCCGACACCAGGTGGTTGAGGTCCCCGTAGGTGGGGGTGGTCAGCTTCAGGGTGCGGAAGCAGATGTCGTACAGTGCCTCGTTATCGATGCAGTAGGTCTCATCCGTGTTCTCTACAAGCTGGTGGACCGAGAGGGTGGCGTTGTAGGGCTCCACGACGGTGTCCGACACCTTGGGCGACGGCACCACGCTGAAGGTGTTCATGATCCTGTCTGGATACTCCTCCCGGATCTTGCTGATGAGGAGGGTGCCCATCCCAGACCCAGTCCCCCCACCCAAGGAGTGGGTCAGCTGGAAGCCCTGCAGGCAGTCACAGCTCTCCGCCTCCTTCCTCACGACGTCCAGCACTGAGTCAACAAGCTCCGCGCCTTCCGTGTAGTGCCCCTTGGCCCAGTTGTTCCCGGCGCCACTCTGACCTGCAAGAGAGAGGGCAGCCGGTTGCTCTTCAGCCAGGCATATGGTCACCACTGGTCACTGGTGCCACAAAGGCCAAACGACACAGCGGGAGGTAACACCCAAAACCCACCCTGCAGGTACAGCAGATGGGCCCCCAAGCTCTTATGATAAAGAGCTACCCGATGAAACACCAAGATGGTAAGCTAACACAGTTAAACAACAAACCAGCCCCTCCCACGGGCAGCCTCTGCCAACTCCCCAGGAGCAGAAGAGCTGCCACTGCCTCCAGCTCAGCCTTCCCGGCATGGAGATTACATCTGCCTGCTCCTTCCCGGCAGACAGCTGGGCCTTCTCGGCAAAGCCGCTTTAGGTGAGGGGATTGAGTGACTCTAGAGGGGAGGAGGACGTCCTGGAACCCAGCTTCTACTGAGGATACAGAGTGGATCAGAACCTCGGCTCTGCGAATCCTGAAGATGGCGACCTTGGGCGCCCCCCCCCCCGACCTTTGCGCCGTCCTGGCTATCAGCCGCCACCCACCCCGATCCGCGGCTCACCGAAGACGAAGTTGTCCGGCCTGAAGATCTGCCCGAAGGGCCCCGAGCGCACAGAGTCCATGGTGCCCGGCTCCAGGTCCACGAGCACGGCGCGGGGCACATACTTGCCACCTAGGGGGCGGGAGGGCGTCAGCGAGGGTAGGGCCGTGGGGCGGCACGGGGGTGGGGAAGGGGCGCGGGGTCTCACCGGTGGCCTCGTTGTAGTACACGTTGATTCGCTCCAGCTGCAAGTCGCTGTCCCCGTGGTAGGTGCCAGTAGGATCGATGCCATGCTCGTCGCTGATCACCTCCCAAAACTGCGGGAGACGCGGGCGGGCCGGTCCGGGGCTGAGTCACGCCGGAGCTGCCCGGAGCCAGCCCCGCCCCGGACGGCGCGGCGCGGCCCTCCCTTCCCCCGCCGCCCGGCCGTCCCCACGGGCCCCAGTCGCTGCCAGCTGCCTCGACCCCGGTTCCGGCGCCGCGAGGGGCCGCAATGCGGGGGCGCCGCCCGCCGGATGCCGCCATCTTTCCCGCCGCCAGCTCGCCCCGCCCGGAGGACCCGCGCCGGCCCAGACGTCCCCGCTCACCTTGGCGCCGATCTGGTTGCCGCACTGGCCGGCCTGCAGGTGTACGATCTCCCTCATGGCGGCGGCGGCGGCGGCGGCAGCAGGAGCGGCTGCGGAGGAAAGACCGGAGCGAAAGCCGAAGTGCGGGCGCGCAGAGTGCTACAACCGACGCTGCGCTGGCGCTTATATACCCGCCGCGCCCGCCCCCGCCAGCCTCTTATTGGGCGTCCGGAGCGAGGCTGGCAGGCGGCCTCGTTTGATTGGCTGTAGCCCCATCAATCGAGCCGCCCAGCGCCCGCCTTCCCGACGCCGCTCGCCATTTATTGGTCCGTCGCGGCCTCTGCGCTCCCTATCCAAGTCCCCCCCCTCGCTCTGCGGTGTTCTGACCATTGGCTGTTTCAAATGATTGATTTGTGCTTCCATTGGCCGGCTCCGCAGAGCACGCCGACAGCCTACCGCTATTGGCTGGCGGGGCCGGCGTCCTGGTAACCGCCGCAGTGCCGCGGGGACCGGCGCGGGCGGGGCGCGGGCGCGGGCCCGGGCGGGGCGCTGCGGGGGCCGGCCGAGCCCGGGGCAGGCGGGCGGGGCGCGCCCCGTGGCCCTCGCGCGAGCCCGGGGCCTCGCCTTGCACCTTTTCGAGGGCGGCCGGGCTCATCTTGCGGGGTCTTGGAGCGGGGGAAGGGCGCAGAGCCGTTCACACGAACGCCCGAGGGGACACGGGGCCGAGGAGCGGCGGCGCCGGGCCTGCCCCCTGAGCTTTGGAGGCCTTGGGGCCGCCTGCCCCCCTCTTCGTTCCTCAGGCCCGCACGGGTCGTGGGCAGGTGGGCGAGCGCGTGGGGCCGCGGCGCCCGGCCGGGGAGAGGTGGGCGCGGGGCGGACGGGGTAGAACGGGGCCCTGCCCGGCAGCGGCTTGTTGTGGAGACCGCGCTGGCCTGGCGCCCGTTGCCTTGGTGCCTTGGCCCCAGGAGCGCACAGAGCTGCGTGGAGACACGAGGGCCGCGCCCAAGCCTCTGGGCAACCACAGATCAGTACACCTGGCTGAACAAATGCTTGTACTTTTCCTTGAATTTTGTTTGGAGAAAAAAAAATTTATTAAAAAAAAAACAGTTAACTTGCATGTAGTCACACTTAATCATTTTAAAAACAGTACCATTGCCTTATATTTTCGTAATGTCCGCCATGGACAGTCTCTCTCGCTGTGGCCACGGGTCCTCTCTAGATTCTGGTTTTCTCAGCGATGTTCTTACCCTCCTTTGCTCCCCAGCCCACAACATCTGTGGGCAATACCTGGTCATTTCTACCTGGAGAGATTATGCTTGCTGTTCACCGTGTGCTTCATGACACCGCTGTTTCCTGGCGTGCTGCAGCGTTAGGGCACTTCACAGTATGCTTAATCTGGGGATGAAATTGTTGGGAAGCAGCACACTGGCATAGGGATGAGTCTTTCCATACCCTGAGTGGCCTGCTGCTGCAGTCCTGAACCTTACCTGGAGGGTGAGTCAGCATGTCAAAGTAATGGTCCGGGAAGAGCCTAGGGGACCAGCCCCTTCGCCAACACCAGTTCAGGAAGGTGGGCCCAACTGGTGCTGGCCACAGGCAGTGGCGTGTCAGGTGGGCAGGGTCCCTGCCTGGTATCTAGGGTTCTCATAGGCCCCGCAAAGTAGCTTAGCTGCCCAAGCAGGCCTGCGAGGCCCTGGCACTGCAGCAGGGAGGCTCCAGGGTCTTGCAGCACTGATCAGCAAGAAAGGGAAAAGTTCAGACTTTGCTCCAAGTGAGCCAGTGAGTTGGGGCACTTTGAAATGTTTGTCAGAGCCTTCCCTCCTTGCCCCCCACCCTGGGCTGAGATCCCCACTGGCAGAAGTCTCTGCTTCCTGTGACCAGTGCCCACAGGGCCAGGAGTTCAGCGTGGCACCCCTACTTTGCAGGTAACAAAACAATTGTGTCACCCACCCAGGCGAGAGCCCAGGGGCCCTCGTGGCACTAGGTTGTCCCCCTTGCCCTTCCAAAGTGGACACTGGCTGGGAACAGGCAGCAGGCCTTCCCGTGGCCCTCAGCCAAGGGCCACCGTCGGCACTGGTGCACAGGGCCGGTGGCGGGGGCGGCACTGCAGGTCCCCACCCTTAACCAAGGGTGTTCCTGCCGCAGGCTGGAGGTGGGCTGGGTGAGCCACCAGGTACAGGCTGGCGGGAGGTCCGGGCCCAGGGGGGATCTATGGCCCAGCGGGACACAGGGCAGAGTGGGCGGGGGCTGTGGGAGTGCCGGGCGCCTGGCCCTCCCGCCTGAGCCTGCAGCTGTTGAAGGCGTCCTCAACGACAGCTCTGTTTACTGGTGGCCATGGTCCCAGTGGGAGGCTGCATTACCGCCAGGCGGGAGCAGCAGGCAGACAGGGGTTCACGGCCTCAAAGGACCCAGCAGTCAGCCTTTGTGGGCGGCCTCACCCGCCCCCGGAAGGAGAGGTACTTGCTTCCCCTCTCACTGCCTTCCCACCACGGGGAGGGGAGCCCCCCTGTCCCTGGGGAAACAGCCAGGCCCAGCCCCTACTGAGGGACTTCCATGGGAGTCAGGCTGACGTCAGAAGGGCAGGTGTGTCCTGGAGTCACAAAAGTGGGGGAAGCCAAGGACGGGTACATGGACCTGCCTCAGGGGTCTTGTTCCCACGAGGCCCTTTGTGGGTCTCAGAGCAGGTGGCTAGCTCCTTTGGAGGCCAAGGTGAGCCCCAGCCCCGGGAGATCTAGAAGCTTGTTGGGAGCACAGGAGACATGGGGAGCTGAGAGGGGCTGGGGGACACGAGAAGAGTCCGTGAGAACCCGAGCATGAATGACAGGCCGCCATTGTGGACGGTAATTGGTTCTGGGGTCCCCGTCTCATCTTCCTGGCCATTCACACCTGTCCCCCCACCGGGTTTGGCTAGGCACACCTGGGGAGCGAGGAAGGAATGTGGCCCCCATCCCTGGATCAAAAGGCGGTCACCGGTTGCAGCTGCAAACCAAGAAAGCAGGCAACACACCCTGCCCCCAGCCCTCCCCAGGTCCGCGCTGCCCAGCGGTCTGCACAGGGCGCCCCAAGGTGCCAGGGTTCTGGGGGAGAGGCTGCATCCGCCAACGCTGTCCTCTCAGGGCTGCGGAGGCACAGGGTCCGGCCGGTGTTGGGGGCAGCCCTGAACCGGAGGGGTGTCCGGTTACCAGCGCCGGGCTCCAGACAAAAGCCTTCCTATGTGAAAACCCACGGCGCAGCCAGGAGGGGCAGGGGGAGGGGGAGGGGAGCCACCGCCGGGTGGGCACCTGGCCCAGAGATGTTTCACGTCGGCGCGGCCTCCAGGGGCGAGCGGCGCCGGGCGTGGCGGGCAGGACCCACTCCCCGGGGTGGGGGCGCTGAGCACCTGCTCTTCCCAGGTCGGCGGGGTGGCGCCCCTGGCCGCCAGGGTGCAGGCCGGCGGACATGAGTAACCGCGCACTGGTCCGCCGACCCCGCGCCCCCACCCCCGCAGCCCCGTGCCCCGCAGAGGCGGGCGCCGCGCCGCGGGAGAGCGGGGACGCGGGGGAGCGGGGCGTCTTGGGGCCACCCGGTCCTCACTGGGTCCCCACTCTGCGACGCACCTGCGGAATTCGGGGCCCCGCAGCGGCCACGTGACGCCCTCCAGGCCGACAGCCGACAGGGGCTGGAGGGCGCCCGAGCTGCGCGCGCGTCCGCCCTCCCTCCCTGCACCGACAGAGAAGGCCTCGGCCGTGTCCAGCCTCCCTGGACCCCGAGCTTCTTGCTACGGGGAGTCTCCACGCTCTGGATAGGCCGCACTCAGGGCCTTCTGCCGCCAGCGGCCGCGGAGAGAGTCAGAGCTCGAGCTTCGGGGTCCGCTGTTTGGCCATACCTCCGGGAACTTCCAGCTCCTACTCGGGCTCGGCGCTAGCCCCCGAGTGTCCGCTGGATGGCGGCAAAGGCACTGCCCCACCCCCACTCCCTACCGGGCAGAGGCGGGGTGGGAGGAAGTTGGGGGTCGAGGGGGGCCCTCCCCATGCTGCCTGCGATTGGGGAGAGAAGACCGCCCACACCTGGGTACAGGCATTTTTTATTTGCAAAGAAGGCGCCCCAGGTGGCTCAGAAGCCCGAAGCTACTGGGACCCCCCCAGGGCCGCCAGAGGTCAATGGGGCGGGGGGTGTCCACCCTTCACAACTGCTGGGAGGCCAGAACCTGGGGGTTCTCATAGCAGTGGGCCTCCTTGGACGCAGCCTGAGAGGGGCTGCAAGCCTGGCAGGGGCAGCAGCATCTCACCAGGCGGTCCCAGGGCTCCAGAGAGCGGAGCCAGGGGGGCAGCCAGGCCCAGGAGCGCAGGCGGTGGGGCAGCCAGGCCGGCCGGTGCAGCTGCAGGACGGTGACCAGGGCGACGAGGAGCACCAGCGCTACCAGGGGCCCGCCGACCGCAGCCAGCACTGCAACCCCCGCCAGGGAGAGCCCGAAGGCGGCCAGCGGCAGCAGCAGGAAGCAGAGCAGCAGGTAGGCGATGGCCACCCAGCGGTAGCTGGCGGTCAGGTTTCCAAAGTGCTTGGCCAGCGGAATGGGCAGCCGGAGGATGGGCACGACGTACCACAGCAGGATGCCCACCAGGTTGAAGAAAAAGTGGATGAGCGCGACCTGGAGGGAGGGCAGGAGGGCGGGCAGGACTCAGGAGCCTGGGCTCCATGCAAGGCTCACCCCTCCCCGTCCTGACAGAAAGGGGAGGCGTCCAGGTCTGTCTGAGATGGCCACCTGGGAGGGCAGATTCTGGCCAGCTGTGATGGGCACGCTCTTCCCACACCCCACAGTGCCCTGCGGGTCAGGAGCCTAGCATGGCGTCGCCACGTGGTAACTACGTGTCTGTCGCCCCGTGGGTCCCACCTTCCCCTGAGCTGGCTTCGCTTGCCGATGCTTCATCCACAGCAACCCCACTCATGCTCATCCCTCAGTGGGCTTAGCCACCCAGCCCCAGGTTCTGGCCTGGCTCCTGCGAGGAGGAGTTGCAGGGCTACACGTGGAGGGAACACAATTCTCTCCAGGGCTTTCCTGGAGAAGTCGAGGAGTTGCTGTGGTGGGTACAGTCCGGAGG